CTGATGAAATAGAATTATAAAGTGTAAAAAAAACCTGTCATGGCATAATATATGTATGATTTATTATTTTTTAAATGATAACCAATTATTGCGTTTACCACGGTTGTAAGATTCCAACTAGTCAACAAAGTTACAATTAATACTCAAGGACTATGTTCTAAAGTCTAAACTGTTAAGTATTAATATTGAGATCTTGACTAGATATATTGGCATAAAAGAGAGATTTGCACGCAAAGATTGGACTATGACAAGCCTAGCTAGTGTTATAAATTATAATAAAATAAGCCATATCTCTTTTTAATAACACATAGATTTTGTTCGAATTAATGCAAATTAAAACTTCTGACTAAATTCCTAAATCCTACCAAATTAATTATATAGTATATACCTAATTTTAGTTTTCGGCTACCATCTAGTACTACGATTTTTTCATGATTTGTGTCCATACCTCTCTAACTCTCTTATCGTGGGCGAGACTTTAAGAAAAAAATGCCATACATTCGTAAAATTTTGCAGAGTATATTTATTGCAATAACTAATTTATTCCATAAATGATCTTTTATATTGCGATGATATCCATTTCACTAGAAACCACACTATGACATAAACAATGAAATTCATATTTTATATACTAAATAAAAACTCAAATAGAAAGAGAATACTATACTTCGATTAAAAAAGAAAGAAACTGGATACTATATATATACATTCGATAGACAGAGATAAATGGTTAGATTTAACGATACGTACCCTTTTAGGTGCATGGTCCAAAACAATTCTAGCTCTCGTTATAATTCCAAATTGACCCAGACCTCCTAAAACTCCATAGAACAATTCTCGGTTTNGCTGTGGCGAGCATGTCANCATTTCACCTTTTCCTGAAATAATATATCATGAAATTCCAAAATAATCAAGCAAAATCATTTTAGTGTTCTTACATTTTCAGATAAAAAAACATATTTACGTTCTTACTGATGTCTTTATTGAGTTTTTTTTATTATTGTTATTTAGTTGGAAATGTCCTTTTTAATGTAAATTGGGATACGTATAGGATACGATTATGAGAAAACTTACATAATATGTACATTTCCTAAATTTTTTTTTTAACCTTCTAATAATTCAGAAACTTACATAATAGTACATTTCCTAAAACTTACATAACGCATCAGAATGCAGAAAAATTGTTTTTCATGCTCGCAAAAAAGTCAAGAAACATTTTTCAAAAAAAAAAAAAGTCAAGAAGCAGCAAAATCTCCGAAGACGGAAAACTTCCATTTGCATGCATCATGCATGTCCATTAAAGAAACTTCCAAATTAACACGCATATACCAACTGTGAGAAATCAGTCTCTCTCTCTGTCTC